GCAGCTGGCCGTGTGATGTCCCTGGCCACAGTCGGGTCACGTCATGTGTGGTTGGGACTCTTTCGATTCGAAGAAAGATCGTGAGGATCTCCTTGGGGCCCCCGTATCCACGGACGGACTCTTTGGATCGATTACCTCGGTCACACTGCGCTTTAGTCGCTTGGAGGAGGAGAGGGCGCAGCTCAGCCGCATGCTGCCTCTGGTTCCTCCTCAAAGGGAGTGTGGCGCTTTTTCGTGTGCCTGGCTCTTCGTGCTTTATTTATCATTTATTATTCTGTTGATCACAGCTGACTTTTCCCGGAATCCATTCTTGTGAAAGGTGCACAAAGGTGGATTTTTTTGCGAGCGGCAGGGAGATCAATATACTTTTGGTCTCTTTGCAAATCTCACATCCACATTTTCAATTTTTTTTGAAAAGCCATGGATAACTTTCATTCCACTCACTCCATATTTTCTGTGTCCAGTTAAAAGGCAGGTCATGGGCATCGTCAGGAAACGTTCGCTAGTGCAGGTGGCACCGGCGGCTGTGGCCGTTGTTGAAGCCTCTTCACGCTCCGCATCGGCAGGCCTCTCCCTCGGTGTGGAGCTGTTAAACTCGACCCTAACGCCGCTTACAGCCGGTCAACTAAAAGTTGTTCCGTTCACGTTGTCATTTTTAGATTCCTGCGCTTCTTTTTTTTGTGAATCCAGAAGCAGCGAGGCTTGGCTGTTTTTTCGTTTCGCCATATTTTTTATTACAAAGCCAGAGTTAAAAAAAATATCAGTATGAAAATATCAAATACCGCGCCGGCATCGCTGCCGTAACCATAGCAACGTAAGTAGCGTAAAGAATGCAGCGCCGCCACGTACAGATGGCAACACCCAGAAATATTCACAAATATAAAACAAATATTCAGAAACTGTAATGAACAATGACTATTATTTATTTCAAGAACTTTTATTTACAGAAACTCAACATTTCTAATCTGTTTGACACAAATATGCACGATTCTTTTGGGCTCCCCCTATTTATTTTTCAAAGTCGGCCTTCAGGGGAGCTCCCCCTGGCTCCCCCCCATTTCGAAAACTGAGTGTTGGTCCTACAGCACTTCAAACCCTTACTACAGGGCAAACATGTGTTGGTGAGGAGCGACAACAGCACCACAGTGGCGTACATCAACAGGCAGGGCGGAGTCCGCTCCGCTGCCTTATTGACCACAGCGGAGAACCTGTGGTTGTGGGCTTCAGAGAATGTGTTGTCTCTGAGGGCCCTCCACATTCCTGGGCGGGAAAACAGGGGGGTCATGTCAGACGAGTGGATGCTTCACCCGGAGGTAGTGAAGCAGATCTGGGCCCAATTAGGGAGAGCGGAGGAGGACCTGTTCGCCAACCGGCGCAACAGCCACTGTGACCTGTGGTTTTCCATGGCTCGGCCAAGAAAGCTGCTCTACGCCTTACCACCGCTGTGTCTAATTCTCCCCCTCCTGGAGAGGGTGAGACGGGAACGTCTGTCAGTCATCCTAGTGGCCCCAGGTCGCCGTTTGACGCCATGGTAGGCAGAGGTGACACAGATGACGGTGGGCCAGCCCTGGACGGTGCCTCAGGTCTGGAGGGCGCTGTCTCAGGAGTCAGGTGCAATTGGGGCGTTACCCACTCTGGGCAGGCTGAGACAGGGGGGACGAGGTTATTCAGACTATCCAAGCAGCAGGAGCAGAATCCACCACAGCCTGTTACAGGCCAAAGTGGTTGGAATTCCAGCGATGGTGTGAAGAAAGGAGTCTAGAGCCTCTGTCTTGTACGCTGGGCTCTATTCTGTCCTACTTACAGTTACTGGTAGTCAGGGGGCTTGCTCATTCCACAATTAAAGTGTATGCAGCAGCCATCTCGTCCTGCCATGAGAGATTTTGAGGCAGTTCAGCCTTCAGTCAGTTATGTTATGTTATATAAAAAAAAAAAAAATGCAATGTAATGTAATATTCAGTCAGTTATGGCGCGTGTTTTGCAAGGGATCAGGAGACAGCGCCCAGTGGTGCACACCTCCTCCCCGCAATGGGACCTGCCGTTGGTGCTCGAGGCTCTGGTCACAGAACCGTTTGAGCCTCTGGAGCGCTCCTCCCTGAAGGCTCTGTCATTGAAAGCAGCTTTGCTGCTTGCCTTGACTTCAGTAAAAAGAGTGTCCGAGCTGACCGCTCTTTGCCTTTTGATCCGGGGTGACCATAGCGGGGCGACACTCAGACCGAACTCCTCCTTTGTTCCCAAAAACCTAAGGAGTTTGTTCAGGTCGAGGGTTATAGAGTTGAAGGGCTCTAGTCTTCCACCCCATATTGGGGCCAGGGAGGCTAAATTACACCTCCTCTACCCGGTGCGTGCGCTGGCAAGTTATGTAGAGTGCATGGCTTCCATTAGGCGCACCGAACAGCTATCTGTGTGCTTTGGGGGGGGGGGGGGGGTTGTGACCGGTAAAGCTCTGTCCAAGAAACGCCTGACAGGATGGCTCTGCGAGTGCATTTCACATGCCTACGAACAGGCGGGGAGGGCCTTCGGGAGGGCCTTCCCCACTGGGGTCCGTGCACACTCTACACAGGGTATGGCCGTGTCAACAGCCAGTGTGATGGGTCGATGTTGTTGAACGACAGGGCGTTTATCCATCAGGGCTCCACCCACTGTACCCATAGAGTCCAGTAGAGGGCGGAGCCTATGTGAAATATAACGAGAGGTTACGTATTGTAACCCTGGTTATATAAGCACAGGCGGAGCCCTCTACCTAGGGGCCCTGTCTTTCCTATGCCGCTCGCTGAAGAGGGTGTAGGATGACAGTCAGGAGGCGTAGCCACCTTATATACTGTGGGCCTGCACGCGCATTCAGGTAGGCTCGCCCCGATTGGCCGGCTACGTTTATGCAACTCTGTATGTGAATGCTCGCATAGCATGGTTAAGGGTAGTACCCATAGAGTCCAGTAGAGGGCTCCGCCTGTGCTTATATAACCAGGGTTACAATACGTAACCCCCCGTTTTAATATACTCTTAGAAACATACAGCTCTGAAAAAAATTAAGAGACCACTCCACATTTTTATATGGCAGCCATTCCTTTCCAGTGACTGTTGAAGAAAAATGTAATTTTACTGAAACACATCCCCATAAATAGTAAAACCAGAGGAATTGATAATGCTGCAGTGGTCTCTTAATTTTTTTCAGAGCTGTATTACAGTAGTTTTTACAAAAGGCTTTTATATCAATTATAACGTTTGCACACACTGCAGCGAGAGGTTAGAATACTCCGCCAGATTTGTACATTTCTGGCTGTCTGTCTGTGGACAGATTATGTCAACAGCGTTGGAATTCTGCAATATCATTCTAAAATGGGCTCCATTACCATTGGGCTCCATTACCATTTTCTGGCCAGAGGGTTTTTATTGGAGATCTTGTGAAAGGGGGAGACAGAGAATCGAACAGGAGCGGCTCTAACCACTGAGCTAACCAGTGGCCCACATCACATTATTTTAAGGGATATACAGTACATAAGGGGGTCCCCGGTATATTCTCTATCTAGTAAGGGCTCCTTTGCTGATAAAACTACCTCTGGCACTATCTCAGTTTTGATTTGCGGCAATGCAACTATACCTTTGTTAATTGTGTTTCGAGGCGTGAAGATGGACGGTGTGGCGCAGTGCACTGTGCAATGATCATCAGATCAAGGGGTGAAACCCGCCGCTCCTGCGTCTGTAAAGCCGTTGTGTCCTTGGGCAAGACACTTCACCTGAACTTGCTCCTGTGGGTATTGTCCACAGTGGTGACCATTGCATGTATGATATGTGTAATGTGTATTTGTAAAGCGCTTTGAGCATCTGGAAAAGCGCTATAATAAATGTAAGGAATTATTATTATTATTATTATTATAGAAGTTAACCCAGTTTACAGTTTCAGATTTCACTGGTTGATAGTAACACTAGAATGGAAAATCCCATGTTATAGGGGTGTGTTGTTTTATAGTTAAATCACAGTATTTGTATTTTGTATGACTCACTCTGTAATATAATGTATTGATGGGAAGGATAGGTCCGTATTGTGATTCAAACACTAAAGCAAATCAGTTTAAGAATAAATAATGCATGAAATGACTGTGTGTTTGTGAAGACGACTCTCCTAGTGATGTATCTTCTGATCAGGTCAGAGGATTTTTGCCATTTGTACCACTAGCACCCACAAAGATGCTTGTGTTGTTTTTACCTTGCAAGTCTTTGTGTGTCTGACTGTGTACAGTTTTTGTCACGACATTGCAAAACCTAGCCTTCACAATCAGAAACACAAGCCGGCTAAGCTGACCAGTCACAGTTCTTTATTTACCTTCATAAACAGAGTTGCATTGATTTATAGTTCATTTTTAGGGCGTACCTATTACCAACAAAGTGTATGCACATAGCTGCTTTTCATGGGTTCAATCCCATCGCCTCTGCAGTCTACATGTCCCTAATTGCTCCTGAAGGCATGGCTACGCTATTGAAGTGCATGTCAGCTGCTTTGGGAAATTGTAAGCTAAATAAAATGTAATGTATTGTAATAGTAACACAGGCTCACTTCTATTCAAGCATCATTTCATGTTTGGCTGAAAAGGAACATTTCAAATGCATGATTGGCCACAGTGGGAGAGTTAAAGTAGAATGCATTGCTACCTGAACTGAAGAATAAAAAACACTATAAATGCCTGTAGAGCATTTAATGGCCAAAAGATGCAGGAAAATAGCAGTAGCTTACATTTGAGCCTTAACGGCATAATTGAACCGTCATCATGTTCCTGCCGAGCCAGGGGTCATCTATAATCATACATTTTATATGCTAGAGAAAAATTGATGTATCTTAATGATGTTGCAGTCAGAGCTCATTTTCAGCTCCGGCACTGCTCCAGACTTGCTAACAATGTCTTGTTCCTGTTTTTTGAATAACATCTACTTGTTTTTCACAAGATTGTTAATGCTCTTCCTCAAATCACGACTGACCGTAATGTGTTTTCTCCTCCTGGCAGGAGGTGAAGTACTTCCAGTTTCCCGGAGAGCTGCTGATGAGGATGCTGAAGATGCTGATTCTGCCGCTTGTCGTGTCCAGGTACCGACATCCGCCTCCTGCACGTCATTACTCCACTGACCCCTTCACCTTTTGGATAAGCAGATAACAAGTTTTCAGTGACGTACTGTATTCTCTGATTCATGGCCTACTATGTATATTCCCAAATCTGCAGGTTCAAAGCCGAGTGAGTGAAAAGGAACGGAAATAACAAAATACCTTTTGAACGTAGATTTTTACACTGCAATTATATATGACTAAAAGTAATAAATATGTTTTATTATATGAATACTTTTACACTGGATGCTACACACAGTAGGTCTTTAAAACTAGATTATGCTTTTAGTTTATAGCATTGAGGCTGAGCGAAAATGTAACATATTTGAACTAACAAGAAAAAGGATTCATACATGAACCAACTGTCACATAAAGCAGAGCAGGGTTTGATGCAGAGCACAGGTAGACAAATCTGATAATACCTTTTATTTTAGGTCATTCAGGGAGGCAAGGGCTAACCAGAGCAGAATTGCAATGGACAATATACTGTAGGCCTACAACATACAAGGACCAGACAAAGACTAACAAAACATCAGGGCTGTGGTGGCCAAAAAAAATGCAGGTGCAGTAAATATAATGCAACAGCTGACGTTATTGACATAGGTCTGCCCTGGTAAAACACTTTTTCTGTAAATGGACTACAAAAAGAGCATCTTCATATTTTTGCCCCATGCATTATGATTTTGTTTCATGCAGGCTTTAAAACAGTGGACAACCGTGAATAATATATAACTTAATTAACAAGGTTTGAATCAAATTGAAAGGAAATGGTTGGTTGCTCACCTTCCTGAATTTGTAGAATCCCAATTAGTAGTACGATTGTATGAAAACATTTCAATGAATAATACTTTTAGCAATACTGTATATGTTAGGCCTAAACATCGACTACATCTACTATTCTGCATATCACCGTTCACACAATAATACATGTTGAAATGTAATATTAATACAATTTAAAAAAAACGAATAGGAAACACTACCCAAGATAGTATACTAGTGCATCACTTTAAATGTTGCAGCCCCATGAATTTAGAGACAGCTTTATCTCCTTTTCTTTTGTAAAGGATAGTTCAATGTACCCGTAACTAAAGGACTATAAAGGAAGCAACCGTTTCTATCATTTTAGAGCGATCCAACAGCCCTGAGCAAAAAATAATATTTGACTGCAACCCAGCCCAGGACTTAAATACAAGCAAGAATAATCACGAAGACAAGACACAGATGGAGAGGGCAGCAGGCATGATAACACACAGGTGGGTGGGGCAGACAATCAGAACGGGCGGGAAATCATAAAGACAGGAAATAAAACCAAATATGACACGGGAGTACGGAGCCCTGGAGGGTTCATAGAGAGAAAAATAAATAAAATGTGGCCACGTTTTATTTATTTTTTAGAAATAGTTTGAAGAAAAAAAAAACATAAAAGATCAACTAAAAATATAATGACAACATTGCTTCCTGTCATTGAGTGTTAAGAATTGCCCATCTTTGAAGCCTCAAAAGTGTTTTTCCTACATTTTGAGGGCTGTAATGTACGGAAAAGGATTAGGGCCACATTAATTTTATTTTTGGTTCAACATTTTTTTTTTTTTTAAATCTTCCCAAAAAAAAATCATGTGGCCCTAATCCTCTTCCGTAGTAATGCTTCCATTAAAGTTAGTTAACATATCATAGCCAAGGCGAGGAGCCATGTTAACTGTGTCTGACCTGAAGTGCAAGCATAGGCAGTACCAGTGAGGCCAACTCTTTTCTGAAGATGGCACTAGTTTCAAAAGTCACCACACAGCTTGTGGATGTGTCAGCTGATGAAGAAGAGTCATTCCACAAAATAATAACGTTAGATTTTAACTGATATATAAAAGTCAGATATTAACATCCATCGTCCAAACCTTGAATAAAACGTCCATGGTTCTACTGAACCATCTTAATACCTTAGCCTGCAGTAGGTAGAATTGATAACACATTAAGATAAAACATTTCAACTTTTCATTTTCTGGCAAACAGTCTTTAGAGCTTTTCCTATTGATGTTTAGGTAATTTATTCCTTAGCTTATTTATTGCATTTCTGAGGGAAAGCAATTTGCGGTATGTGATGGAGAGCAAAGAGGGGATTCAATTGGAATTAAATAAATAAAATATCCTCGGAGGCGTAGTCGTGGGGGAGGGGGTCTGCAGTTCGGTGGACTAAGGATTGCACCACTGCTTTTTGCAGATGATGTGGTTCTAATGGCTTCATCGGTCTGCGACCTTCAGCACTCACTGGATCGGTTCGCAACCGAGTGTGAAGCGGCTGGGATGAGGATCAGCACCTCCAAATCTGAGGCCATGGTTCTCAGCAGGAAACCGATGAACTGTCCACTCCAAGTAGGGAATGAGTCCTTACCCCAAGTGAAGGAGTTCAAGTATCTCGGTGGGTCTTGTTCTCGAGTGAGGGAACAATGGAGCGTGAGATGGGCCGGAGAATCGGAGCAGCGGGAGCGGTACTGCAGTCGCTTTACCGCACCGTTGTGACGAAAAGGGAGCTGAGCCAGAAGGCAAAGATCTCTGTCTACCTTTCCTCCCCTCCTACCCTCACCTATGGTCATGAAGGATGGGTCATGACCGAAAGAACGAGATCGCGGCTACAAGCGGCCGAGATGGGTTTTCTCCGCAGGGTGGCTGGTGTCTCCCTTAGGGATAAGGTGAGAAGTTCGGTCATCAGGGAGGGACTCGGAGTTGAGCCGCTCCTCCTTCGCGTCGAAAGGAGCCAGTTGAGGTGGTTCGGGCACCTAGTAAGGATGCCACCTGGGCGCCTCCCTAAGGAGGTGTTCCAGGCACGTCCAACTGGGAAGAGACCAAGGGGTAGACCTAGGACCAGGTGGAGGGATTATGTCTCTTCGCTGGCCTGGGAGCGCCCTGGGATCCCCCAGTCAGAGCTGGTTGATGTCGCCAGGGAAAAGAAAGTTTGGGGCTCTCTGCTGGAACTGCTACCCCTGCGACCCGACCACGGATAAGCGGGAGAAGATGGATGGATGGAAATATCCTCGGATGTGGCATTTTGGTTATTATTTCAGAGGATTTTTAGCACTTTGAGGCTTTAATTTAATCACATTTCATTTAAAGGTGACTTATCATGCAAAATATACTTTTTGATGTCTTTTATACATAAATATGTGTCCCCGTGTGTCAGGGAACTCACGCAGCGTCAGAAAATAAAACCCTCTCTCTTTTCCTCCGAACCCAAATCTCTAAAAACGGGGGTACAACGGAGCTGATCCAGATTTGCGTCCGATATGACGTAATATCGGAAATGTGGACCCACGGCCCTATCAGAAAGTTTCTATCAGAAACAATGCCCAACTGTTTTGGACGTAATATAGTCGGTGTTAACATTAGCATCGCTAACACTCAGAGCTAACCTGTACTGGAGAGCATGTGTGTGAAGAAGCAGGAAATAAAAAGGAACTCAACTCGTGGTATAACCGGCAAGAGAGAAAGCCTTTGAGCTCCATACTGTTTCAGAAATAACCCTTGATAATCCATGATATGGAGTTTCACCACGGTAGTATTTAGTTTAGACAGTAGCTGCCGGGTCCCGCATGAGCTCAGACCCCTCCTTTTTTTTTAAAGCTTTATACCCACACTCAGCACTTTTGAAACAGGAAGTGAAATAGAGGGATATGAGGCATGGCTAGAATGGGTGATCTATTTGGTATTTTGAGCAAAACACTTCATAGACATGTTTTTTATATATTTGTATATATCTGAGACCTATGATATTGCCTAAAAATAGCATGATATGTGCACTTTAAATGGAGTCTGATGCTGCAAGTTCAAATCTGGCAAAACTAAAGTGCAAAATGAATATTTTCACTGCTGAATGGCAGAAGATGCTTCTTTTATGATCTTGTTCACTTTTACATTAACAAAGGCTGTTTAATGTCACCCGTAATAAGGTAAATGCTGCTTCTTGTGTTTTTTTGCCGATTAACAAGGAGGAAATCAGCACTGACGTATAATCTGTTTGACATTGTGGTGCAAATTCCCTTTTTTTATGCAAAATTAGGAAAACTGAATTTGTACATTTAATAAAGAAAGTATTGATGTTGTGCATCAATAGTTTTTACCTCAATGATCAACTTGTTACTCAGAGTAAAAAAAAATCTCATTATAACGTCTTAAAAAAAGTCAAAACAACAACAGGGCCATTTACTAAGGTACTAAGGCAATGCTTAAAGTAATGAAAAAGTGACCTTTTAAAGGGGCCCTCAAATGCCAACTTTCAGGTTTCATATTTGTATTTTGTGCCTCCATTGGTACATGTCTCCATGCTTTAATGTTCAAAAAGCTCTTTATTTTTCTCATACTGCCTGTGCTGCAGCCCCTCTTTTCACCCTCTGTCTGAAACCAAACCTTGGACTTTGGGATTTTAGCCTTTGCAGACCATTCACATGCACAAAAACCTAGATAACACACTACAGGAAAGGGAAACCCCCCAGAAAGCTTAATAGGGCTTCTTTAGCATTGTACAGTTTATTGTGTTGGACACTATCACACAGCACTGTTGCTTTTAGTATCTCTTCATTACTCTCTGTGTGTGTGTGTGTGTGTGTGTGTGTGTGTGTGTGTGTGTGTGTGTGTGTGTGTGTGTGTGTGTGTGTGTGTGTGTGTGTGTGTGTGTGTGTGTGTGTGTGTGTGTGTGTGTGTGTGTGTGTGTGTGTGTGTGTGTGTGTGTGTCTGCCTGTGTGCGTGCGTGCGTGCGTGCGTGCATGCGCGTGCGTGTTGCATTATGTCCCTGAATGAAAGCAGGGGATTAAGCATCTTTACATTCACAAGGGAAATCCAGCAAACACCACTTACACTGATGCGATGCCAGCTTGGCTGTAATTAAAAAGCTGTTTGTTTTGTTATTGGTGGAGTGGCTAATGGTTATTGATTTAACATGAGTGTATGCTTCCCAAAATAGTTCACTTTATGACCAATGCACCTAATAATTCATATTCATT